GCCCCGGGGGGGGGCCCAGCCTGGTTACCTAACTCCAGCCTCCCTCCGCACCCTCCTTCCTCCCGGTCCATCACCTGCCCGCAGCGGGACGGGGCAGCAGGACGGGGCAGCAGGCAGCACCACCGGGCAGAGCCACAGCAGGCTCAGCCGTCAAACCATCACCAGGACACCAGGATCCTGCTCAGAAATTGGGGTTTCTGCCTTCGGGAAGTCGCACAAAGGGCTACCAAAAAATCCCAAAGTCTTGCGCAACCTCAGCTGCAACACCAAAGGCAGGGCACCATTTACAAACAATGCAAAAGAGGATTTATTGAAACTATTCCGGTTAGACCAGGTCCTATAGGGCACGATTTGCAATAAGTTAAAGAACCAAACCAAACAGTCTTAGTGTTAAAAGACACACTAACACATAACACAGTGATCTATGCCGTCATCACCCATCTGAGTTACTGAATCAAGGCACAAAGTCATTCATTAAATACTGCAAAAAAAACAATTACACAGGGAACCAAGCTGGAGAAAGGACTTGTTTTGTTAGGAAGGCGTTGGTTTGGCACTGATGCATTGAATCGAGCTGCCACAGGGAAATCTGCATTTCCAAAGTCTCTGGAAACATTATTGGACAACTTAAAGACAGAAAAGCCCCCCAAAGCCCCAAATCCAGCTCTCCTGAAGGAACATTCAGTGTGCCTATGGGAAAGGTCAGGTCGGGGGGGGGGGTCAGAGGAGGGAGAGATCCGAGACACTGCGACTGCGGTGAGAGTACAGCCCAAGGACCCTGCTCCCTGCCGGGGGAATTTCAGCGGGATACAATCCGCTCCCAACACTCAGGTCAGACTAGCAGGCGAGCCTGGGGCTCCCGCCGCCCACCTCCCGCAGCTCCGGGCTCTGCCCCAGCACCTGAAGGACAGGCTGGATCCGGCCCCGCAGCCCCACTCCAGGCTCTGCCCCAGCACCTGAAGGACAGGCTGGATCCGACCCCGCAGCCCACCTCCCGGCTCTGCCCCAGCACCTGAAGGACA